CATAATGATGCGCTGATCGAGACAAGTCCAAACTCATCCTCCCTGTCCCCGCACGCGCTCTGGCTGTTGCCATGGAGAGAGCAAGTCCTCGCGCCGTGACTGCTGCTGCGCGTGAGCTCCGTGGGGACGCACGCGCCACACCTCTGCTGTGCACGAAGATCGTCCAGCTGCAAGAAGAGCACGCGACTTCCGGTTTGACGTTCAAAATAAAAGCATCTAAAGAACGGAAGGCTTACTTAATCACTAAATCAAATTTTATTTGCCACAAAACCAAACTGTGTATGTGGTGTTTTAATAGTATATATTGTTGCTAGACCTTTTTGACACAATTAGAGCAACCTATGCAAATTTGCAGCTTTATGGTCAAAAATGAGCTGCCTCCAGTGGCCTCTGCAATTTAAAGTTGGTGGTGACATCACACAGGACTGCCCTGATTACAGCCAGATGTTTCTGAGCCCTCCTAGATCCCGCCCCTCCTTCCCCCTCATCACTCTCCCGTCTCTTCCAGACCCCGTCCCTGTCTCATTAGACACACTGGATGTGAGGACTACATTGTTGATGCTTCATAGACAAAAAAAACATTCACTTCATTATCTGCGTTTGTACCCCTCAAAAATATCTTACTGAATGAATGAAATACATTCATACTGTGAGCGAGGTCGCTACTGCACAGATATGGCCTGTATCTCAAACTTAGCTGGGAAAGACCTATAACAAAATAGGTGATGCCATGATTTTGATTCACATGTTTTTTTTATAGTTGAAAAGAGCTATGAAACAGTTTAAAAACCTAGAACTCATTATTTTTTCAAAAAATCACACATACAGAGCCATGGGCTTAACCCAGAAATTTTTTGAGCACTCAACCCTCAGAAACAAGATTATTACAGGATAATTCCATCATGTAGCAACCATAATGTTAACAATGGCCAAAACCTGCCTAAATAACACAATAGTTATAATTAAAATGACACAAATCAGTGATAACACCTTTATTTTGTTAAAACCCATAAAGACCTTAAAGTGTAAAGGTGCAAGCAAAATAGATAAAACATGTAATACTACTACTATTACTATTACTACTACTAATAATAACTAAAGCAGTCATATAAATAATCATTTTCACAGATAGCTTTCAACCTATCACCTTTATTGTTTATTGATTGAAAATTGAACCTTAGTGACTTTGTTGTTTCGGCTGCAGAAGACGTTTTTTTCCTCCATCACTTTTCTGCTCAGCATCAGCTCTGCTCCACTGTCGCACAAACCCTCTGTCCCCGAATTTATACCAGAAGCTTCAACTATAACGTAGGCAGAACTGCTCAGGTTTCCTTCGCTCCTCTTTTTGGGACAACAGTCCTCACTGGAGCCCATTAAGCCCGGGATCAGGACCAGGATTGGGATTGGACTGGAGTCTCGCCTCTCAGGGAAGTGAGAGAAAAAAAATACATATTTAATATGGTTTTAATGAAAACTTAAAATAGGACACTACATGATTTCTCAAATATGCATAAATAACTCAAACATAATAATTAGATAAAACATTGTTAAACACCCATATAAACCCATTTTGCACAAGGGCTGCAAGCAACAGTTATTTTAGTAGTTGACTACTCAAATGGTTATTTATATTGTACAATGTACATTGAGATGCATTCATAAATTTTTGACCAAAAAAGTTGAAATATGGTGACTGAAAGCTTTTAGATAGAAAATGTGTAAAGTCAAGAGTCAGTCAAGGGTCACTCATGTTTGATCTGATTTGTTTTAAAATAGGCCTACGTCATTGTCTACAATTTACAACAAAACTTCAAAAGTGGACTCGGTGCCATTCATTACTGCTAATCCACCACTGCGTCCCTGTCCCTGTCAGATTTAGTCACATGGGGGCAGGAGCTCTATAGATTTCCCAGTGTCCTTGATGAGGCTCCAGATCTGCAATGCAACAGCAAAGTCTTGTAATGCTTAAAGGCCAATAGTACTTTTGTAGTGGACTCCATTGCAGTGGTATGAAGGAGGCACTTTTTAAAGTTAAAAATAACCTCAGTGTATTAATTTCATACTCAATGCTTGCTACAGTTAAAGTGCAGAATGTTCTTTTCAGTAACCTTGGATAAGGCTTGCTACTTTGATTTAACATAGAAACTCCGAGAAACTCCAAAAGTTTCCCAGGATCAGTTCAAGATAACATAGGTGCTCAGACTCTCAGAAACTCTCTGCTAGACACTTATAGACTTTCTGATATTATCTGTATGTCACCCCGCTTTAAATGCATGCTGTAACATTAAAATTACTGTAGAATGATCTCCGTGCCTCTGCACCTATTTTGTCTTTTTGCAAAGATGTGACATGTCATTGCTATGTTCTATTATATGATTAAAGTTGTAGTAGTAGTTGTGATATAAACCTTTAAAAAATAAGTTACCAAGGCAACGAGTATTTACAGAGATTAAATACTGAGGCAACAATAAAGAGCTAAGTTTTAACCCTGCGGTGTGTTTTATTTCTCAGAAAATAAGACAATCCATTTTTAAACACACATTAAGTGTGAAGTATTCTTGTAAAGCAGCCTTATATAGCCTATTGAAACTGAATATTTCTGAATAATTTTAACTGTGATTTAGCATTTTTATTAAATCAGGGATTTTAGAAAAATGCAAATTGTGCTTTTGACATTTTGTTGATTTGAACTTTTGATATATTCTCAAGATGATGTTATATTCCTCCACCTAATTTGTGGTGAAGAACAATGAAACACAAGAAGAGAAAGACAAAACATTTTTGGCCCCACTGAGTCTCACAGCAGCTCGTAGAGCGGTATATCAGCTATTTCCACTCAAAGATCTCAACTCTCTTATATTGTCACTGTCAAATATCACACAAGGGGGTCAGGCCTGGCTCAGGACCCTACTCAAGTACACAGCAGGTGACACTTTCTGCTGGGGAGACGTACAAGCCGCACTGATTAGAGCCGCCAACGAAACCACCGCCTCCAATATACAAACGGCCACTGAGCACAAGATGGCTATGTCACTCCATCCCAGTGTATCTTTAACAACAATCTGGTATCACTTGACCGAAGAACTCAGAACCTGCTTCCCAACCACTATTCCAGATGGACTGCTCTCTCTACAACTAAACTCTGGTGAAGATTACTATACTTACAAGCAAAGAGCCAAGGCAATGTTTCACGACGCCACTGGAAAACCTCTGCAAACAGGCACTGGAATTACAGTAATGTTCTTCTCTGCTCAGACTTGTGCAGGACTCACTGAGTGATGCAGGTGGCCTCTACTCATAGCCTGAAGAAGAATTTGATACTCACTGCAACTATCACGTCACCAAATGGTTGACAAACAAAGAAGATACGCAACAGCAGAAACAAAGCATGGAAGTGGCTTCCCTAAAACTATAAGAGCAAAAGTTGCAGGCTGAAGTCAAAGACAAGAAGAAATCAGACAAGCCCACTGAGTTCATGATGGTAAAAGAAGATCCAGACGAATTTTCAGTCACAACCAACCAGCTGGCTGCAGCTATAAAAATGGTTATGGAACCTCAGCAAACTCAACAAGCGCATGCCTTATGTCTCAGCATAAAGAGAAATCTAGCTAAAGTATGGTGCATTAACAAACTTGATTGAGTTACAACTCTTCCTTTTGTTCTCTTGGACATTAGGAGCAGTGTTAGCAGAACCATCAGTTTTACACCCCACATGCTTTTGCAAAATAAAATTTCAGGTGGAATAATTTAGGATGATTGCAAAAATGTTAGACTGACCTATAATGCTGTGACATCAACTGAAACCTAGCAATTGTGACTATTTTATCTATTATTTAAAAATGTACCTACTATAGTAACTATAATTATTAGTTATAATTAAGTAGTCTGGTTATATTTAGCAATTTCACTTCACTCAAATGTAATGAGACTGTTAAACCAACTTCACAATACCATCACTATTTCACTACTGATCACTATTTAAATCTAAAATAAAGTTATTAATAAGTGCTCTTTGTCTAATCCAATTTGCTGTGCAATTGTGTATATGATTACTTTAAAGTGTTACTTTTGTGTTTATAAACCCATAAAAACTATAAAAGCTAAAAAATCCTGTGCAGATGTTGCGTCTGGCACATATATTTTTGCATAATTATTATCCACATTTCATTATACTGTGTTTTAATTGTGGCAACGTTTAGTTGATTGGTTTCGAAGGCAGTGACTGGTGCCTTTTAGTGTGATCACATTTTCACTTGCTACTATTAAAGTGCAAAATCTTTTGTTCAGTAACCTTGGATAGTGCTTCCTACTTTGATTTATCATAGAAACTCCGCGAAACTCCAGAAGATTTCCAGGATCAGTTAAGATAACATTTATAAATCAACAACACTAAAGCTTTGGTTAGACTCTCAGACCTTCAAACTCTCAGAAACTCTCTGCTAGACACTTATAGACTCTGATATTTTTTGCCTCTGTTTCACCCTGCTTTGAATTAATTCTGTAACATTAAAGGTGCTGTAGAATGAGCTCCATGTCTCTCTCTCTTTTTTTTTAATTTATTTTTTTGCAACGATACAACAGAAATCAACATTTTTATATTTTTAAATGCAATGGTAAAGAAGTACAAGTTGTAAGTCCTGTACAACATGTAAAAAAGTACACAAATAAAACAAGTAGTTCACCGAGAAGGACACTTCTGCCTTTTGAATAATAATTATTAAAACGCTATAAACTGAGGCCATAAACATTTTTAAATAATTGGGTAGTCTTTACTGTAATTAATTTGAATTTTAGATTGTTTATTTCATGATTTTATGATTTTAATAAAAGTGATATTAAACTTTTTTCCATCACCAACACATTTTACTTGCGTTTCTAGTTGTGTGCTTTTATTGTGAAAGTCCTCCTCTCCTCTCTCTTCCGTCACTCCCTCCGCCTTGACGCGCTCCTCTGTCTATCCTCAGTCCGCTTCGGGTGCACTCTGAGCGACGTTTCTCCAGTCCTCTGCCCGCTCCTCTCTCATCACCACAGCCGGACTCCAGGGCGTGTCTCCCGGACTTTATCATCCACGTTCAACGTTTTTTGCCCCGGTTGTGTCCCGGTTTGGCGCAGTTTGGATCGCTTTTTGGGAACCGCATCACTCACCGAGGAGCGAGGACCAGGGAAGCCTGAGGAGTTCACTGCGTCCGGGCAACTCCAGACAGGTCCCAGGTAAGAGGACCGGAGACAACAACTGCGATAAAAATATATTTGTTATGTCGACAGTTAAAGGGCCAATATTACGCTATTTTCTGATCTATGTTATAATATTTTCTCATTCACACATAACACAGAAGCCCTGCATATTTATTTGGAGTTCTTATCTCAAACAGAAAACAACATACAGGAAGTGCTCCACTGTGTTTTTAAACTCCATGTACCTTTACTAGAATAATATGAATGATTTCAGACCTGGAATTCGCAATCTCTACTGAACAAAAGATAAAGAGTAGCAGTAGTAATTTGAAAACTACCACTACATGCCATCACAAGGTAGAACAGCGCATTTTGAGCTTTGGATGGATCTAGACAAACTAATGTTAGGGTTTCTTAAACACATGTGAATAAAAAATGAACGAAAATACAACTCCGGATATGTTTTTGATGACGTAACATTATAACATAACCCTATTTTGCGTAGTATAGGACTTTTAAGCATTAATCACAACTTTTTTGAAATCATGTTGGTGGGTTATTAGATTATTGACCAACCAGGAACATAAGCTTCAGAAATATGTTTTATGCATTTCATAATAAATACACTAAAGAAAGCTACACAGCCAATAATATTTAATTTAGAGAAGTTTAATAAGCTTAAAATCATAATGATTCAACTGGTTATTTTCAGTTTCAGTTCAATTCCTTGACAAACATGCATTCTTACAGTGAGTGGGTTTACCTCTCCACAGATCTGACATGTAACTTGCTTGATGGTCACACTTGTTTCTCTCCGGGGACAGTGATAAGTTTAATAACATACTTTGCAATGCTCAACTGAATAATGCTTTATCTTTATGGAACAACATTTGGCATGTGTTTGTGTCTGAGTCTGTTTACAGAATCTGAGTCTGATCAAAATGCATTTAAATGATCAACTAGTCACATTTTTTCCCATGAATTTTTTTAACCCAAAAAATTATTTCAATTTGAAGTTTAGTCCTACATGGTGTTGAAACGATTAGGGGTGTGCAAATCAAAACATCGATATATCATAATGTTTAATGTGATAATACAGTATCGATATAGAGGGCTGCTCTATCGATATATCGGCAGGAGTAATTTTTGGCATGTTTTACTAAATTATTTTGTTACAGCACAACAGCTTTGTTACTTGTTTAGAGGAATACTTATGCAACACATTTGGCATTTTTACAGTTTTGGTGATTAAAATCTGTGTTTTTCATATGAACTTTGCACATGAAGTTGTTTAACGAAGACTTTTAGTATCACAGTCATGATTTAGACATTATTTTTTATGGAATTGTATCGAATCGCTTTGAAATATCGAATTGAAAGTACACTGTATCGAAATATCAAATTGAAAGTACACTGTATTGAGATATGTATTGTATCGTGGCCTATGTATCGAGGTGTGCATCGTATCGATAACTTCTTAATGATACAGGGCCCTAGTCACGATACAAACATTTCAAATGCTATTTCTATACCAAAGAGTAGACTCGATACTCTCAGAATGAATGATTCTTTTAGTCAGACAGGAGTGTTTATTTACCTGCTTTACAAATGCTCCTGTCTGACTAAAAGAAACATTAACTCTTAAGTTTATAACTGTAGATGGAATTAACCTTTACCAATGAGACTTGATTCTCAATACTGATTGTGATACCGCAGTGATAAAAAAAAAAAATCACTCTTTATTTAGACAACAGAATGTGTTTTGTGTTTTAATAAGGATGTAACAATAACCGAAATATCGTCAAGGTTCTCACAGTAATATCGTGGACCATCACAATATATCGATAATATATATCGACCATCACAATATATTAACTTAAGAGTTATGGTGCAGCAATAGCTAAAAAAGACAGAGGGAACTACATAGACCATGATCCTTTGCTCCATTTGTGGCCATACCAGCTTGTCAAAGCCTGATCCCGTCAGATCTCAGAAGCTAAGCAGGCTGGGCCTGGGTAGTACTTGGATGGGAGACCGTTAGGAATTCCAGGTGCCACAGTGGGGCGCCAGTGGCAAAAAAAACCCTGTTGTTGTGTCCTTACGCAAGGAACTTCACCCACATTGCCTAGTATGAAAGTAGTGCGTGAGTGATGGTGGTGGTCGGAGGGGCCAATGGTGCAGATTGGCAGCCTTGCTTCTGTCAGTCTGCCCCAGGGCAGCTGTGGCTACAATAGTAGCTTACCACCACCGAGTGTGGAGTGACTGAATAATGAACTGTAAAGCGCTTTGGGTATCTTGAAACGTGCTATATAAATGCAATCAATCAATCATTTCAGTGTCGACTACAAGAAGAAATAACAGTTCTAAGCACTTTTAAGACTTATTTCTTTGGATTAAGTCTTGTCAAGGCATTTTAAGAGGAAAAAGTAGCAACAGTATCAACAGTTTTGTTAGCCTCCACAAAATATCACAATAAATTGTTCAAATATCATACAAATATCATCCCTAATTGTGAGCCTCCACACCATATCGTGAGCTTTCCCTCGATATCGCAATAAATATTGTACCGTGAGGTTCATACCGTGACGATACCATATCGTGAGACTTGGATATTGTTAAACCCCTAATTTTAACATTAAATGGTAGTACTTTCTTTTATATTTCCATGTGGTTTTATATGTGTGTAATCCCTCAGTGGTCCAGGTTGGTTTCATAGTGATCCATGGGTGTACACTAGTAGTCTTTGTGGTCAAATACTTGTTCTGATCCAACTCAAGATTATTCTAAAGGTTCGTTTCTGTCATGTGACTTTTTTTTTAGTATCGATACCTGCTCAAATCTAGTTTCAATCTAGTTATTTATTAGTATTTGATTTTCTGTTTACAACCCTAGCCCTACATCCTCCTTGGAGCTAACCGTGGGTAGGTTGAGTTACCTGCTCAGGTGTCACTGGTCGACCCACAGAGCCGCGCTTGTGTTCAGTCTAAGTGAACTCATCAAACTTTTATTCAAAACCGACCAAGTGGAATATCAGAGATAGCATCCTCCAACAGCTAGCTTACACTTTTAGATAGAGCTGCTGCACATTTAATCGCAATCCAATCGAAAATTCAGTTTGAATGGCTGCAATTAACAAATCGCAAAGGCTGCATTTCTTGAAGTACCATCATTTCCTCCACCGAAAATCTCCTGTCTTATTAAAAAGTGCTAATCCTGTACTTGAGATCTGTACAAACAAGTTCTGAAATGGGATTCTTGTATTAGTTTGTCAGTTCATATTTAAGTGTTTTTCTCAATTCTTCTGGATGAGTTTAAAGGTCTCATATCACACTATTTTCTGATCTATGTCATAATGTTGTTTCCTCATCAAAACCAAACCTAGAGTAGTGTTTTTCATGTGTTGTTAATTCTTACTCAAATCCTGGAGATTTAGTTCTTCTCTCAAACTGAAAACACTCTGTTCCACATTGTGATGTCATGTGGTATCACAGGATGTGCTCAACGGGGTTGGGCGGTATCCAAATTTTGGTACTGTTAAACCTTCTCAGGATTTTACCGGGGTTTACGGTATTACCAAAATGTTTTAATATGATGCACTGCTATACGGTTTATGCATGTGACCTGCAGATTTATAATCTCTGAAAAGTTTTACATGAACCATTTCCAATGCGATCCACGCACTGAACAGACTCACCGTCAGCAGCAAATCCTCTATCACAGAAAGAACACTCATATTCTACTGAGTTGTGTCCTTTAGTTCAATAGAAGCTGAACCACATCAACGCTCAAGGAAAGAGCTGTTTTTATCAGCGCTTTATAGTTTATGCAAATGAGCCATGTGGTTTTAAGTTTTGTTTCTGTAAAATGTAAACAAATGTATGCCTGAAGCCAAAGTGCTGCCAAATTGCAGAAGTACTGTTTTTTTTTTTTTTTGCGTTTGCGGCCTGCTTGCCAATCTTGTCTTGGTCTCCCTTATGAGCATCATGTGACAACGGAACGAAACTAATCGAACGTCATCTCCCCACACAGTTAAAAGAAACATTATAGATACTATTAGTATATACCGTGACATGTGTATCGTGAAAATATTGTACAGAGAGATTTGGATATTGTTACATCCCTAATCGTGAGCCTTCACACCATATCGTGAGCTTTCTCACAATATCGCAATATATATTGTACTGTGAGGTTCATACCGTGACGATATCATATCGTGAGTCTTGGATATCATTACACCCCTACGTAATACCGAATTACAACCCAACCCTACTCCATAGTGTTTTTTAACTCCATGCACCTTCAGTAGAATCATCTGGATGATTTCAGCGCTGGAATTGCCAATCTCTACTGAACTAAAGATAAAGCTCTTAAATTTGAAACACTACAAAACATTACAGGTGGAACAGAGCATTTTGAGATGTAGACAAACTAATAATAAAGGATCACTCAAACATGTATGAATGAAACAAAACACAACTTCATGTGTGCTTTTGAAGAGGTAACATCATTATAACATGACTTAAAGCTCATAAGAGTCAATTTTGCGTAATGTAGGACCTTTAAAATGTGAACTTTGAACATAGATCACAAATGTTATCTCAATGTTTGTCCCAAATGTTCAGCCCTAATTCAGAAGAGGAACACCCACGTCAGTCAGATCATTTACTACGAGCAAGGAGCACTGCGTAACTTTTCTGGTGGAAGTCTGTCAGTCTGTCATCGCTGGTTGTCTCAGTGGAGAGTGTGATAGAAATTTAGATTGTGGAAAGATTTCTTTCAATCTGTCTATGTGTAAATGAATGTGATTTCTACCTGAAACCCAGACCAGTCTTAAACATGTGTAAAGGCTCATCAGACACAACTCTCTCCTCCTTCAGGAAGCCTTTTGTTGTCCTCAACTGTATGTTAATTTAGCCCCAGCCTCTGAAAACAAAGTTACTCTGATTTGATATGTATGTAACTTGTATTTCTGTATAAATACTCAGAGCTCAAATGCTCTGGGGCAGATACTGGGGAGAGATTTGGAAGATGGGGCA